CGCCGGCGCGGAGCTTTCCCCCGGGGCTGAACTAGAGCCCCCAGCGTCCCGGGGAGCACCAGTACTGGCAAAGAGTGCTGGGCGTTGTAGTTCTACATCTGGAGAGACAGGGGTTGCCCCCTGCCTGTAGGACTTCCGCCCATTTTCGGGTCTCAAAACACTTTCAGCAAAGGCACGCACTGTAATGCTCTGCCCCCTCCTCCCCCCGCATCCCGATGTTTGCATTTTCAGGGCGCTGCACTCTGAACCTGCTCAGAGGTAACCTCCCCTCCCTTCCCAATGGATTGGGGCAGAATCCCTGACTCCCCGGCTGGCTTTCCTGCCTGACTCTTCTTCCCCATGCAGGATGGAGACCCTGGACGAATTTGACAGTGAATTCCCGCTCATCTTCTCCTTCTGCGAGCGGATCTCCCCCCAGGATTACGAGGGCCAGGCCTTGAGTTACACCCAGAAGTCCCTGCAGGACCTGTTCGCCCAGATGGAGCAGAACCCCAGCATCTGCGAGCGGGTGGCGCGCAAGAGGAAGCAGGCCGAGAACGAGAGGGGCGGCCTGGGGCAGTACCTCAAGGTGAGGCTGCGGCTGGCGGAGGGGTCGCCAGAAGGAGCCCAGGGGTGCGCAGGTGCTGCGCCCACCTGGCGCGGGTGGCGCAGAGGCTGTTATCCGGGGGGTCTGCAGGGAAGGGTCCAGAAGGCCAAGACAGCGGTTACGATGGTGTCATCAGTGCACATTCGAGACAGAACAGGTATCGCGCTGTCCGGCCGCCATCTCAACTCTTCGGACCCTGCCTGCAATGACCCTGCTTTAATTGCAGCTGAGAAGCTGTTTGTGGATCAGGCGTCCTTCCACAGCTGAAAGGTTCAGCCCTGGGCTTTGCCTGCAGAAGAGCCCCCGATCCTTCGCTCTCCCCCGGCGTGATCCATCACCGGGCTCAGCTCTTGCCCCCAGAGAGAGACCCTGCACTCTGGCTGAAGAACAACCACCTTGAGACCACCAGATCCCTCATGCCCAGTAAGGTGCCCCAGGCTGGATCCCCACTCCCCTCAACTTCAGCCAGCATGATGGAAGTTATAGTCCAGCCAGCCCCAGGCCGTGCCCTTGACCGGCTCAGACATTGAATGCGGGACATTAATTGTCTCCTGCAAGGGGAACCTCTGATGAGGTCAGAAAGTTTGGCCCTGCAATTGCCGTTTCATCCCAGTTTGGTCATTTAACAGTCTGTTCCTCAGAAATTCAGACCAAGTAACAAACACTGGCCGATCCGTTCCACCACGGAGTGGCCGTGGTGCTCTGCCTTGCAGTGCACAATCCCTCCTGGTGGAAATCTAGCCCAGCTGGGAGGAGATGAAGTGGAAGCTCCCTTTAGCGCACGACTGTACTTTCCCCCTTGCTGGAAGTTACGTATTCTTCATTCCCCCCTTTCCACCTGGGTTCCCACTCTGCCTGTGCGCTTCGGGCCGCTGACCACAGCGCTCCCTTCTCTCCCCATCTGCTCTTTTCCAGGCCAGGTTCTTCGCCCTGCTCCAGGGCGACGTGAATTATGACAACTCCCTGGGGCAAATGGAAATGGAGGAAAAAGTAGAGCAACTAAAGCGAGAGATGGAGAAGGCCAACAGTTATGCCCGCGGTAACTAACTCTGCCCTTCCTTACGCTTCCACCCAGAAGGTCCCTCCGCGTTTCGTTCTCTGGTGTTTTCCTGCTCCCTTCCCTGGACGCGAGGGAGCCCTGGGCCCCGATACTGACCAGGAGGGGCCACCTTCTGCCTTGCCCTTCGAGAAAACCTCCCTAGCTGCGTTCCCACATCATGCTAGGCTGCATTCAGATGGGGCCAGAACAGCTCAGCACGTTGCGCAGGGCAGGGTTTTTCAGACTTCTTCAGGCTGCAGAACTTGTCAATTAAAAAAAAAAATTCTGGGAACCCTGATCAAGAGACCAAGCTCTAAGGACAGAAAATTGGTTGAGTTTGAGTGAAATTCTTTCCTCTTAGTCTCTCCTGGAACCCCATCAAGTTCTTGCCGAACCCAGTTTGAACACACACACCCCCGCCCTGCTGTAGGGCACTTGGATTGGAGCTAAAATCCACATGACCGCTACTCTCTGATTTTTGCAGCCCAGAACTGGTAGCCCAAGTGTTGTGAGAAGCCAGTTGCTGTCTTAGCATATTGTGTGAACCAACCATTGCATTAAGCCACGGCAATGTGATTTTGTGGGGTTCTGTGTTCTGTGAATGTAGCAATGGGGGTTTTATTAAGCTTCAGGTTGAGTGTTGCAGGAACCCTTCCTTTCAGTCATGAAGAAATCACAGCTTTTTGCAGGAGACGGTTATGGTCTTCGATGCCCACCCAGCCCAGTTGCTTTGCTCAGCCCAGATGCCATCCACACACCACGAGGATCCTTCCGTAGCTCAGGCGCCACAAATGGAAAACGGGAGCAGACAAAACCGAAACCACACCGCTTGACTTGCTTACGCACGCAGGGCCACGGGTGAAGGCAGCCCTTTGAAACAAGGTCTTGGCAACCATTTATGCCACAGAAATGGAGAGTGCCAGGTGTTTGCATTGCCCAAACGTCCCTTCCAACTGCCTGTTGTCTTTTTCCTTGCCAAGCTCACCTGCCAGGTTTATTTTGAAAGAATGCATTCTAGGTATATAGCCTGGAACTGAAAATGGTGCTACAGGCGGGTTCGTTGCTTTGCAGCATGCTGGCTTCTCATTCAAGTAAAAACAAAAAACAACCTAATCCAAACAGATGCGTAAAGAATAAAATAAAATAAAATAAAACCAGGTGAGAAGGGGTGTCTGCAGAGAGGGGGTCAAGAAAGTCAAGATGGTGACCATAACCATGCAAACAAAACCTGCCCTTTCTGACATGCAAGGGCAGGGCTTTGATCACATGGTCGAGTTGCCATCTTGGTTTCTTGACCATCTGCAGGTGAGGCTGGCAGCCGGCGGGAACCAAGCGAAGGTTCAGGCAGGAGGTATAAATTCTGCCATGGAAAACGGGGTTCTAATCCGATGGGCGGATCTGATCCTGGTGGCTTAGTCAACAAACCCTCATTCAAACCGGCGGCGCCCGTGGGAGACGAAAGCGGCCAGGGAGTGAAACTTTGCTCCTTTTCAGCTGCCAAGAGCTCATCCTGGAGGCTGGCCGAGAGAAGGATCAGGAGGCCTGTTCTGATGGGAGGGTTGAGCCAGACGGAGCCCAAGCTCTGGGACTCGGGGCTTCCAGCCATGCCCAGAATCTTCGGTTCTTTCCCAAAGCAGGTTTGTGCTTCGAACCTCTGCACACCTATGGCGTTCCCAGATGTTGCCCCTAATGCGGGGGGGGGGGGACATAGCTACAAGCAAAAGGACCCTCTTGGTGGTGGCACCCCAGCGGGGTGGGGTGGACCCAGAGGTTGCAACAGCCTCCATTATGGTCTTTTTAGAGTCCGGGGAAGTATTTGCCTGAAATATCAGAATACTCATATTCTGTTGCTTTTTTATTACTGGGATTTTATGCTGTATTTACTGCACTTATTGTTACTCCTGGTTTTTAACTTCTTGTCTTCCTCTCTCTACTTCTTTTTTTCATTGCTTATGTTTTTATATTTAAACGATAATGGTCCAGAGAACTTCTGTTATAAAAGTACAACACCCAAGCAAACAAAATCCATTTCCCCATATCTAGGCAAGAAAGTTGAAGGTCACAATCAGGTTTTTAACAGGTTCCTAAACGTCACAAGGGTGGGAGCCATGTCACGTTAAGCTATCGTATGATGTGCGTGTTTGGGCTTAGCATGTTTTGTGAGGGTAGGTGTTGTGTTCAGGCCAAGTTTCACGTGTGGACTCAGGACTTATACTTTCACTGAATCCAAACGTTGTCCTCTTCTAGGGGAGAGCTCTTTAAGGGAGAGTAGGGTGGACTTCGTATAATATAAGGCTGCCTTGAGACCATGTGCGCACAAGGACACATAAAACACCTGGGAATAGCTAAAGATTTGAAACACGGCATTTCCCACGGTTCGAAAAGGAGTGTGGAGGAGGATTCGGTCCCTATTATAGATGGCACCTGTTATAATAACGCTCCAGTCTCTTTGTGAAAGCTTTTTTCACAACCAAGGTCTTTTTTTCTTTTTAACTCATTTGGAAACAGTTGTTTTATTGAAGCAGGTCCATATTTCTTTCCTTCAACAGGGCATATTTGTATTTTAATAACTAAAGAAGAGCTATTACATTTTTCTTTTCTTTTAAATAGTTTGATTTTGTTTATCTCCAGCGTAATTGGTCTAGCTCCCAAGGAAGGTGGGGGAAGAAGGACTGAAACCTCTAGCCACACACCTTTATGCTATAAGACCAGGAGGTGCATTATTTAAATTACTTCACTTTTTGTACGTTTTACTTTTTAATAGCTGGAAAGACAATGCATTCTCTCTCTCTCTCAGGCCAGGGTTAATGGGAGGATGCCCGGTAAGGTACTTCCTAGGAGATAAGTGGAATGCCAAGGTGCTAGCAAGAGCCAGAGCCAAGATGTGACAATCTGGGGGCCTCTGGGAGAGGGGTTTGAGACCCCCAGCCTTCCAACTCGCGGGCTCAGTCATGCCCACTACAGCCAGAAAATCCAGACAGCAATCCCAAGCAAACTCCTTCTTTGTAGAATTGCCCCGGCGTGCTCAGCAAACCCAGTGGCTTTGTGGGATGTGTTAATATATTGTGCTTTTCATTTACTTGGACCTGGGAAGGAGAGACGATTTCCTCCAGGCTTAGCAACTTCATAATTCTCCAGGAAAGTTGATTGCCTGTGTTGTGTATAAGCTGCTGCTTTCAACCCCTACAGACTGAGAGAAGCAATACAGACCTGAAGCAGCTTTGGGCCGGCATGTCGCCTGTTAATCAAAAGAGGTCAGAAGCCGGGCAGGGAGGGAGAGGCTGTACAGGAATGAAGTAGAGAGGGGCTGCATTCAGAGGACGTCCTGAGCCGCCAACGGGCTAGAGCTAGCCACGTTTCAGCCCAGCTTCCTCTGCAAAGACAGCCCCGCGGAGCCGGCTTATGGCTGATGGGCATCCAGGCAGTTGGCAAAGTTGGGCAGAGAAGAGCTTTCTGAGTATTGCATTCTCTGATTCCTCACAGGTGGTTTTGTTATAAATTGATGGCAAGGAGGGGGGGAGCGGGAGGGAGGAAGTAATTCAACTAGCACTGGGTTGGCCAGCATGAAAGGCAGGACGACTGTGTGGGAGGAACTGGGCTAGTGGACCGAGGGGCTGCTGCCACTGGGATCCCTGAGCTGGAGGAACACAGAGAGGTGGGGACGATTCGCCTCCCTCTGAGCATCCCACGGAATGAATGAGGTGCAGAGCAGGTCCTGCGATAATCACGGAGCATCTCCTGGGCTGCCGCCATTGGCCTCCCTCTGCTAGGGTCCTTGTTGTGATGGGGAGGGGCCCTCCTCAAAAGAGCAATGCTTCGCAGTGGGCCGAGGGGATGGTGCAGAGGTGCCCCCAGGGTCCTGGGGAGGGTCTCTCGATGACCCCCGTTTCCTCGTCTCCATCTTTCCACAGCATGGTCGACCTACGCCCGCTAATGCTGAATCCTGGTGGCTTTCGTCCCTCCTTTCTCACTAGCAGCTCTGTCAACCGGCTGCAATACACATTCCCAAGGTAGGTGTGCATTTATTTATTTATTTATGTATTTATTTCCTGTGTGCCATTTTTTCCTCTTAAGTTGGTGTACATGGTGTACCCCATCATTTTATCCCTACAACAACCCTGTGTGGGTCAGGCTGAGAGAAATTAACTGGCCTGAAGTCAGGCAATGGCCTCCCTGCTTAACTTACTGGATTCCAGACAAACACTTCTGTGCCCTGTTTATCAAGATACAATGCTTCCGGATTTTCCCACATTGCCAATCACACTGAAAGGCTCAGAGGTGGAGGAGAAATTACTTTGAAAGAACAGGTGTTCATATGTGCACCTGACTTGTGTGGCACCTCAGGTGAGGGAGAACTGCCCTCCCTCCCCCCTCCAGTTCACCTGACCAGCTTCTTTCAAGATACAGGGCTCCCCCCATCCTGTGCAGAGAAATAGATAACCTCAACAGCAGGGAATTCCCATCAATGAACCGGCCCCCGGCCCGATGGTCGCATGGCGCCCCAAGTTTATCCTTAGCTGCCATGCTTTAGCCTCGTTGCCAGCCAGCTGGGCTCAGACATTCACAATAAGCATCCCTGTGGGGATTGATGCAGGCATTGGATCATGTACGGAGTGTGAATATCCTAGACTCTCTCTCTACTGGAGATAGAAAACTTTGGTGATTTTAAAACAAGAGGCAGGACTCTGGATGGGGAAAGATGGAGGAAAGAGACCGGGTAAGACATAGCAACTTCCATCACCCTAACAGTTTCAGAAGAAAGCTTGGAACTTGGAAGCAGGAGATTGAGAATCTTGAAGCAGAGGATAATTTTGATTCAGGAAGTCTTCTATTTCCATAGAAGTAGGAAAACTGTCTAGCCAGGAAGATTGCACTCGGTTTGATATATTTTCTGTAGGCTGCTAAGACTCACTGTGTGAGTCAGGGCATTACTTTTATTCAGATGACAAAAAGGTTTCCAGAAAATATATTTTCCTTTGTAGGATATTTTTGTCATCAGTAATATTAATTTGAAACGATCTTGTCATGTTACGGAGCAGATCAGAGTCATTTTCTGATTTACCTGGAGCACTGGATTTTCTTCTGGAAAATTTCTTTTTACTTATGTTGCCAGTGGTCTCATTGTGATTTGAGCAGCTCTGTAACTGTCAACCCTGAATGCTTGCATTTTAATAGCTAAAGAGGATTTTTACATTTTATCCTTCCTTCTCCCCTTCAACAAGGTAAGTTTGCATTTTAATGTCTGAAGCTAAAGAGAGTGGTGACATTTTTCTTTTTAAAAGTTTTGTTTATCTCTTGTGAGATGGATTTTTCTCTCAAGTATGGGGGAGGAGGACTTAAACCTCTAGCCACATGCCTCTCTGCTAAAAGGCCAGAAGTGGAGTCATTGAGATTCTTTCACTTTTTTTTACCTTTTGGCCTTTAATTGCCAGAAAGGCAACAGGGGTGGTGGGAGCCCTCAGTCCAGGGGAGCTAGGGGGAGGAGGCCAGATAGGGTGCTGCTTGGACACTAAATGGAGCAGCAGGAACTACCACCCGATTACTATAAAGAAGGAGGCAGGAGTGGGGAAGAGGAGGGCTGGTAGGAGGGGAGTTTGAGACCCTGTGCCTTCCCACTAGTTTGTCTCAAGGATGTTGACAATGTCTGCTAGACTTATCTAACAACTTCAATTCTTGGCACTTCCCGAGGTGGAAGGCCGTGTGTTCAACGTTGGTTGGGTACTGTGGGCTGTTCTTCTACAGGAGGGGCTTGGGAGAGCCAACCTTGACTGCAGACATGGTTTTGTTCCAGGATTCCTGCCAGCAGCTCACCCACCTCATCTTCCCAAGGTGCCAGCTCTTCCAGCACCACGTCAGTTTTCAACACGCCCGTGCTGGCCAAGTTCAGGGGCAACAAGGAGGACAAGATGGATAAGGGAAGCCCGGGCCCTGATACAAACCCCACGGGGGCCTAAATGTCTTTTCGTGTATGGGAAGATGCTACGCGAATAAAAAGTTTGGTGCACGCTCCTCAGGGTGTGTGTGTGTGTGTGTGTGTGTGCGCACTCTGCTGCTGAGCCAACCCTGATGCAGCGGAAAGAAGAGTAAATGGTTGGGCGAAAGGGAGGTGGCTAAGCATATTGAAGTGCCCTTCCTTCCCTCTCTTTCCCTTCTTCCCCATTTCCTTCCTTCCTTCCTTCCTTCCTTCCTTCCTTCCTTCCTTCCTTCCTTCC